GGTCAAATTTTGCTAGTGGCATATATATATATATATATATATATATATATATATATATATATATATATATATATATATATATATATATATATATATATATATATTGTTTGTATTTGTGTATTATTTTGGATGAGGTTACCAATTGGCATTAATTGCCCCATGTGATATGTCTCTTTCTAGAGCCAACCAGCCATTTTGAGTGGTCACATACCACTTCCAAAGTCAATATATATATAATTTAGTATATTAAGATGAAAAATAAAATTCCACATAATTAATTTGGATATAACAAAAATGTTTTTAATATAAGTTCGCTCAGAATATATTTAATATAATTTATTAAATTAGAGATGTACTCCAAGTTCAGAAAGTGGGGGAAGACTTGGAAACATGCCCCCTGCCTTATATATATTTATTTAATACCAAATATATGAGATACTTCCAGGAAACTCCCCTCATACCCCACCCAAACCCTACCCCACCCCACCACCCTACCAATCTTTATGTTAGCCAAGAAAGTGTCAAGTCCTATCCTGATTTAAGTGCAATCTTGGTCATATCACCACAAATTATATTTTACATATTAAATTTGTAATTAAAAATCATTTTATTTAAACTTCTATTGATAATTTACATATAAAAAAAGATCATGCAAAAGAATGTAAATATTTATGCAACAAAATTAAGATTCTTTTTCTAAGGTAATAATTTAATTAAGACACTACATGTGCCCATCTCCAGCTTCCACGCAACGAATCTGCAATAATTTTTAATATTTAATTTTTTAATTTTTTAATTATGTGATCACACTAAAGAAAATTTCAAATATTTTTCTTTAATATCAAGAATCTACACAAGTTTGAAAAAAAATATGCTCAACCAATGAGGAGGCTCCTTGGATGCTCTAAGCATGTCCCACATTTAGATATAGAGTAGATACACATAGTTGTGTGTGTAAATGTGTGGTGGATTGACTGGATTCTATATATATTGATTGTGTCAGTACATTGTTTGTAGTAGCACCTTGCTCATCAATGGAAGTATATGCTGTTTTGGTTTAGGGAATAAGAGATATTTTCTTTTTTTCTTATCCCAAAATATTCTTTTACCTAATTAATAATATAGGTGAGGTGGTAAATAAATAAATAATTAAATAAATATATATGTGTGACAAATGAAGGAAAAAATAAAACTTATTCCACTAAAAAGAGTGGACCAATTGTTGAAGAGACTTGATTGAATGAAGTTGCTTTTGTCTCAATCTCGAAAGTCGTTTTTAGCATTCGATTCTATCAACTTTTTGCCCTTTTTAACTTATGTGACTAGTAGGAATGTGGATTATAATGGAAGACGATTTCGATTTGAAAATTTCCGAGTTTGGAAGGATATTTTCAAGAATTTAAAAAATCCGGATTTCTGATTTTACGATTTTTTTATGGACTGAAATTGGAATGAGTATGAGATTTCGATTTGAAAATTTCCAAGTTTGGAATGATATTTTCAAGAATTTGAAAATTCCCGATTTCCGATTTCACGATTTTTTTTTGGACTGAAATTGGAATAAATATGAAATTTTGATTTTCGATCTAAATTTAATTTCTGAAGATTCGAAAAAAAAATATCCCAAAAATTACATTCATAATAACACTTTTTGTGTGTTTTTATATTATAAGATGAATAGAAATTGGAATTTTGAATTTCGTCGACTCCGATTCGGAACTTTTCGATTTTTAGAACAATTTCTTTTCATTCCGATTTCCGATTTTTCTGATTGATCAAAATGGTGCACAATAAGTCAGAGAAACTATAGTCCATATCATAATTGTTACCTTGGTATTTTTCGAATAAAAACGATTAATTAAAATAAAATTGTGTTTATACAGCTCGAAGAAAATGAATTCATTTGTTTTGTGTTTTGTTTGAATGCAGAGAAAAGGAAGACGGGGCGAAGGTGGTGAGAGTGGAGAATCTGCACAATCCGTACGTAAAACAATCGGAATTCGATTGGAGATTTAGGCTAACACTAAACAAACTTTACGCATGGAAGCTCGTTGACTACGAGAGAGTAGTCATGCTCGATGCAGATAATCTCTTCCTCCAAAAAACCGACGAACTTTTCCAATGTGGACAGTTTTGTGCTTCCTTCATCAACCCATGCATCTTCCACACCGGCCTTTTCGTTTTGGAGGTACAACATTATTCACCTCCATTAAAAATCTATTTTTAAATTATTTATTTATTTTTTTAGAAGAAAATATTATAAATACTAATCACAACTTTGCAAGATCAATTTGTAAATTGGACGGATGGGACGGAAATATTCCAAATTTTTTTTCGGAAATGAAAAACTAATTCGAATTCCATTCCATTCCATTCCAAAAAAAAAAAAAACGAAAATCAGCCAAATCTGATTTTGGAAGTCGGAATGAAATGAAAAAAACTTGTTTCCAAAAAACTCTGAAATTTTCGGATCGGTATTGGCGGAATTGAGAATTTTCAAATTTTTATTCACCTATAATATAAGTGTAACTTTCGAGTTGTTTTTTTGGAATCTTTTGAAATATTTTCGGAAATTAAGATAATATCAGAAATCGGAATCTTATATTGTAATCATATTTCTGTTAAATAAAGTTGGAAAATAAATTAAAATTAAAAATTAAAAATATTGTTCCACACAATCGGAAATTTATTTTATTTTATTTTAATATGATTAATATCGAAATGCAGCCATCGATGGAGGTGTTCAATGATATGATACATCAAATAGAGATAGGAAGGAGTAACCCTGACGGAGCCGACCAAGGTTTCATCGGAGGCTATTTCCCCGATTTGCTCGATCGGCCAATGTTTCATCCTCCGTCAAACGGCACTAAGCTCGATGGTTTCTATAGGCTTCCTCTCGGTTATCAAATGGACGCTTCTTACTATTGTAAGCATCTTACAAAAATTCTTTTTTCATGTACTAAAAAACTTACCCGTACTTTTTTTTTTCCTCACTAAATATGGTTTTGTTTATTTGAATGTAGATCTCAAGCTCCGGTGGAGTGTACCATGTGGGCCCAACAGTGTCGTCACTTTCCCTAGCGCTCCGTGGTTGAAGCCATGGTATTGGTGGTCGTGGCCGGTTCTCCCTTTGGGCATCGATTGGCATAAACAACGCCTTAAAACTCTAGGGTAAGTCTTTTTTTTTTTTTTTTTTTTTTTTAATTCGAATCTCGTTACAAATTGGGAAAGTACGGGAAAAACATGATTTAAACACGAGACCTCTACTCTAATAGTAGACGCTTGGGGGGTTTTTTTTCTTCTTTCTTTCTGTATCCTCAATCTTAGTCACAATTCTTTTATTTAAAATTGGCCTTATAAATGACGTAAAAAATAGGTACGATAAGTCATAATTCTATACATTTCATTGACGTCGGCATTTTAATGATGCTTTCATTTATTGGAATACGACCATGTTTTTTTTTGTTGCTGTTACGACGTATTTGTCAAGAATGTTACTATTTCCTAAATCACAAAATTAAGAATATCCATCCCTTTCGATTTTTTTTTTTGGCTAAAAGGACATGAAATAATATTTTTTTTCTTTGCTAACGACAGGTACAGTGCAGAAATGCCAATTGTATTCATTCAAGCAATATTCTACCTAGGAATAATCGCCGTAGCTCGTCTAGCCCGCCCGAATCTGTCAAAACTATGCTACCGTCGCGAAGAAAAGAGCGTATTCTTGATACAAACGGGCTTCAAATTAATCGCAATTTGGTCCATTTTCGCCGCCTACGCAGTCCCGTTCTTCTTCATTCCGTTCACGGTTCATCCGCTCGTAGGGTGGAGTGTCTATTTATTGGGTTCATTTTCTCTGTGTTGCGTAGCGATCAACGCTTTTCTGCTACCGATGCTTTACGTTTTAGTACCGTGGCTATCAATCGTGAACGCCCTTTTGGTGATGGCTTACCCGTGGTACCCGGACGGGATCGTGCGGGCCCTCTCGGTTTTCGGGTACGCGTTTTGCTGCGCGCCGTTTCTTTGGGTGGCGTTTGTGAAAATATTGTCGTCGCTTCAGGTTTCTTTGGAAAGGGAAGCTTTCTTGCCGAGACTGGGCGAAAATGCTTCTCCGGCCGGGTTCAATAAGCTGTACTGAAAAGAAAGAAAAAGAAAAAACGAGAAAACAAACGATTTGCTCGATTATTAAAAGGATTGATGTTTCGAATGGATTGTTGAGAGGAGATTGAAGATGGAAGTTTTTTAATCTCATCATCCCTTGTATTTTTTTTTCTTTTCTGTGCAGCTATTTTTATATACATATGGAGCAAAAGGGGGTTTTTTTTCCTTAATTATTGGAAAGTGGATTGTGTAAAATGTTACTTCTTGTACTCAGAAACATTGAAATCTCCTCTTTTTCTCTCCTCTATCTTCATTAGATATTTATGATGATTAATGGGTTTTACAGATAAATACTAGTGAACTATTTATTAGGTAGGGGTGTGCACGGGTGGTACGGTTCGGTTTTGGGGAAAAAACAAACATGTACCGATAATTTTGGTTTTTTTTTTTTTTCAGATACTATAAAACATGTAGGCTTTTTTTTCGGTTCGGTGCTAATTGGTTTTTCGGTTTTCATTTTACGGTATTGGTATCAATTCAGTTTATTTTCGGTTTTGTTTTTGCCTTTTGGTTCGAATCGTTCGGCACAAAATCGATATCTGATTAAGGGCTTTTCAGCCCATTTGTTTGAGGATTAATAATAAATAAATATCTACCGCATGCCAAAATTAACTAATAAAAAAAATGCTGCCAAAAGTGGTCCAGTGAAGGTAAATTAGGGCGATTTGTATTATATAAATATGTAATGGAAGGATGGTGAGCAATTAGAAAATAATGGCTTAATTTAACCTTACACACTTGAAATGTACTATTTTGGCACTATCCATTTTCAAAATTAATCTATGACATTTTACACCCTCAAAATATGTTTAATCATTTAAAGTGCCTTCTAGCCTATTTTCCGGCCATAATTTTCTATTGTCGACTTATTTCATAATTGATCACCCTACACCCGATGATAAACACCGGGTGGGTCTCCTGACACGTGTATTTTTCTAAAACCCCTACATGTTAACCTAAATGGGGAAGTATATAATAAGTAATTAAATATAACACGTGTCAGCAGGAGACTCATCCGGTGTTTATCACCGGGTCAAAAGAACCGCATACTTCCACTAAATAAAGTAAGATTAAATCCATTTATGGCGGTTTATACTATACTACACCGGGTAAAATACACCAGGTAAATCTTTACCATTCTTATACACAACAAACACACACACCAACATTGATGTATGTAAATCAACGATAAAAATCTATCCGATGTAATATTCATCGGGTGTAACATAGAAATAACCGATTAGAGCTACAACCAACGGAAAATTGCGGCCAACGACAACTCATCGCCCACTGATTGAGCGCAACTTTCGAGACATACTCTCGTGATATCTGACCATCGGATGCACCCGACGGTCACTCTGCGAAGTGTCCCACAATAACCCTTCCAATCGTGGTCACAAGAAAGTGGTAACTTCCAATTCTAGTAAGGGCATTTTGGGTACAACAGAAAAAAACAACTAATTTTTGTCTCATGCACAAGATAATAGTGCACATGATTGTTCCCTCTCGTTGCAACGTTCAGATACAGATATACATTTGTATTACTTATTAATTATTATAATTTGTAGTGGGGTACCAGATACTAGCTAGCCTGTCACGCAATTTATGTACGTATGATTAAAAATATCATCAAATTGTGTAAGTCATGTTCTCTAAATGAGACGAGTTCGAGTTCGAGTCGAGCTCCAAAGATATTTCCAGCTCGAGTTCAAGCTCAAGCTCAATGAGTTTTCCTTTGATATTGAGCTCGACATCGAGTTCAATATCAAGTCGAGTGGAGCATGCCGAGTTCAAGTTCAGCTCATTTTACATTTTATATATATTTTTTTCCCTTTTTTACATAATATTAATTTTAGTTTTTATTATAAATTAATTGTATGAAAAACAAGAAGTTATAGAATAAAATATAAATCTTTATATATATAGCTCGTGAGCCGGCTCGTGTTGACAACTAAAAATGAACTCAAGCTCAAGGTTTTGTCGAGCCAACTCATCGAGCTAATGAGCTACTCAACTCATTTAGACCCTAGAGACCCATACTGATAAGTCAAAATTGGTAAACTATTGAAAAAGAAAAAAAAAACGAGTAACTCGAATCAAATATGAGTTGAGCTTCAGTCACATTCGTTCAGTTTTAAGTATACTTTTATCATGATAGAGTTCAAGTCGAGTTCACTCGAGCCTAAATAATTTTGGAGTTCTAACTCACTATTAAGGCTTAGAACTGATGGATCATGAGTTTTTGAACTAAGCAAGTTTAACCCTTGGATTTTAAGTAGTTATTACTATTTTAATATTTTAGGGGTAATATGCTAAGAGCCCCTCAAATCAAACCTAATTCGAACTAAATGACAACCTTAAATTCAATCTTTTAATTATATCCCTATTTTAAATACTATATGAGCCACATCTATAATTTTTTTAATCTCTAGTTTGCCCTTATACCCTAAATATAACATTTATATTCACGTTTCTCCAACTAAGCAGATCTATTTCCTATCTCTCTCTCTCTCTCTCTCTCTCTCTCTCTCCACATCTCTCTCGCCGCTTGTTGGTTGAAAACCTACACGCAAGTGCACGTATCGTACAAGTAATATAGTGGACAATTAAGTCCGGATATCGAACCCACAGGGAATATTTAATTATCTAATCCTAGACGCTAAATTCTACCAATTATTATCAAGCCCACCCTACACAGTCGAATAAGGATTAATAAACTAAATTAAACTAAATTAAAAACAAGCAAAAACAAGAAAGCAATTTAAAACGAAGATTAATCAAAGTAGACAAGCCTAGGATTTTATTCTCCCCCCTATGTGATTATTACTCCCCCAATTCCTTCAATTATGCAAGCAATTAACCCGGATTATTAACCTGAGATGCTAAAATAATCATAACCCGCTTCCGCGTGTATTACAATTCTAATACTCTAGATTCAATTACTATATTCCTATGCAATTAATTCTAGAACACAGCATTAAGCACAAATCTCAATAATGGCTACCTAAGAGATTAACTATATTCCTATGTTAATACCACAAAGGCTCTTCTACCACAGTTCTAATTATTAACCCGATCTTCCGATTCATGCGATTAACAATAACATAAAAGCACATAAAGTGGCCAGTTTCATGAACTTAATAAAACAAGTAGAAGAAATAATCCGGAATTAAAACTTGCATAAAATCATAGAAAAGGGTTCATAAATCCCACATAGGATTCCAAATAAAATCCTAGAAATAAGTAGTTTAGCTACTCATGATTAAAGCAAAAACGCAAATAAAATAAATCATAGACGATAAATCTTTGCTTGAAGTCTTCGAATTCTTCTTCTTCGTTATTGCTTTGTGGCTCTTGAAATTGCGTAAAAAGAGATTCTAATTGTGTGCTTGGCTTGGTCTTATATAGGGTGAAGAACTTGGGGAAGAAGGCAGTTTCCTTGTGCAATTAAAATTCCTTCACTGCGCTATTTCGCCCATCCGGACGGCCGTGTGAGATTTATGCCAAAAATCCGCACGGCCGTGCGGTCCTTGATTCTCCAGAATTCTGCTTGTTTCACTTTTGGCCCATATTTTCTCCAAAATTGCAGTTTTGACCCCATACTTTTCCAATTCTTCAATTTATACCTGAAATACAATAAATCAACTTTTTAAGCACCAATTATCGTTAAAACACACCAAACACTCAAATAAAAAGATACGATAAAGTGTAAAAATATACACTTAACACACCCCCAAACTTGAACTTTTGCTTGTCCTGCAGCAAAATTTACCAATAAGCAATTAACTCAACGATAACATCTCATCATATAGATCAATG